AGATAAAAATAATAAAATAATTATTATTAGTAGTTTTTTGCGGAACCGGGGATTGAACTCAGGCCCTTGTGCTTGCCAGGGAAGCACTTATTCCACTGAGCCATCTCCCAGGCCCCTAATTGCAAAATCTTACTCCAATTCTCTTCTCCAGCGTCCATTCTCACCTAGGAGTTTTCCCTTTCTTCCTGCGTACCCTGTCTCTTTTTCCCTTTCCCTCAGTTTTTCTATTCAAGTCTTTGTTTTTCTTCCATTTAAGAAAAAAGCTCTACTTTTGATTGAGCCCATGAAGAGTGTAACCCCGGTCACAGCTGTGTTCCAACAAGCATCACTTCTACTTTAGGCAACCCCAGTCTGATGCCAGATTTATTGCCTCCTTTCTTCAGACAGATAGAAAGAGGGGGGAATAAAAGGGAAAGGGAGAGTGTAAGAACGTAAATCACTGCTGGTCCAACTTGAGTTCAATAGCCCTCTCCTAACTACTGGATCCCCTTTGTCTTTCTCACTGTCTTCCTCTGTCCTGACCCCCACCCTACCTTACACCTTCTCTGTCTCTGTTTCTCTTGCCCTCTTTGTCTCCTTTCCCCTCCTGCCTCCCTTCCTCTGCATGCCCTCCCCACCCCATCCCTGCTGACCCTGTGCGAGCAAAGTTGGCCCAGTATCTCATCATCCGCTGGGCAAAGATTTTCTCCTCTACGGTGTAGTTCAGCGAGGAGTCCAGGGGGAGTCCAAAGATGAACTCAATCTCGTAGCCGTGGGGCACCCCCATCCAGAGGGGCCAGGTGAGTGTGGAGGCACGATGTTCAAAGACGTAGGCATAGACTCGGGCCCCCTGGGCAGCCAGTCGCCCAGCCAGCTGGGCCACAGGGCACACGACATTGTGGTCGCCCACCACAGCACTCATGGCATCCCTTAAGCGCGCCGGGTCCTCAGGATGCAGCCAGTCCGTGTAATGTAGGACCACAGCCTCAGCCGCCAGGTCGCTCACCTGGGGGACCCCGATGCGCACCCCAGCCAGGAACTGGGCCCGGCTGATGAGAGATTCGTTGTCTTTGCTGAAGCCTGGGGCCCCGTAAACCAGAAAATAGGACCCCTCATCTTTCACCACACCCACCAGCACCTGGGGAGGGGAGGGACAGGATGGACAGGGTACAGACAGACAAGCAGACAGAGAGACAGATAGACAAAGAGCCAGAGAGATGCACAGTTACAGATCCAGAACCATGGAGGAAGAGAGCAGGAGACTGGGGAAGGGATGGAGAGAAGGAAAATATACCCATGGCTCTTTTCCTTTCTGCCCTGATGACCATTCTCTGGGATTTGCACTCAGGGGAGGGGGGTGCCTATGGGCCCCAGAAGCTTGGACTGCAGGAGAGTGGAGTCCCGCTCTGTAGGAGCCCCCCCTTTTTTCCTTTCTGTAGGGAGGGAAGGGATGACCAGACCCCTAGGTACCAGCTCCACCCCTGCCAGCCACTAGTCACCTGCAGGCCATGGAAATCTCCAGCATTGATGAGGGCTTCAGGCGTGTCACTAAGGAAGTCTCCATCCACCACAGGCACGAAGGAAAACCGGAAGATGCTTTCCTGGGGCAGCACATGCCACTCGTGGTCCACCAGATCCTGAGCTGGCCGTGTCCTCAGGCAGGCTACTAGTTCTGTGTCATTGCCACCAGCACCACCTGGGGGACAGCCCACAAGGCGGGCCAGCAGTGTGGCCCTGCGCCGGGCCTCTCCCATGCCCACAGTGGCCCAGGGCCCGTTGGGTGTACCACTCTGCAGCACAACCCTGTGGAAAAGGCTCCGGCTGGGTGGGGACAGTATGTGCATGCCCACTGAGGCAGCGCCTGCGCTCTCCCCGAATAGAGTCACTGATGTTGGGTCCCCTCCGAAGGCTGCCACATTCTCTTGCACCCACTGCAGTGCCAGCCTCTGATCCAGCAGACCTACATTGCCTGGTGCCTCTCGACTCCCTGGCAGAGCCAAGAAGCCAAAGGTCCCCACCCGGTAGTTCATAGACACCAGCACTGTCCCCTCTGCCTGTGCCAGGAAGCGGCCATCATACACGTCCAGGGAGGAGGCCCCGCTGTAGAAGCCACCCCCATAGATCCAGACAAGCACAGGGAGGGGGGCTGCAGGTCGGGGGTATGGTGTCCACACGTTGAGGTAGAGGCAGTCCTCACTCAGCTCACGATTTGGGTTCCACATTTCAATGCCCTCAAAACCAGGGTACAGGGTGTCCACATATTGGTAGCAGACACTAGGGAAAGTTGTAGCATCCAGCACCCCTGGCCAGGGCCGTTTGGGCTCTGGTGGCAGAAAGCGTCGGGGACCCACTGGTGGCTCTGCGAAGGGGATGCCCAGAAAAGCCGAGACAAGGCCCCCAGGGGCCTTTAGGCGGATGCCCCTTAGCCGGCCCCCTTGAACTGTTACCAGCAGCTCTGGGTCGTCCCTGCCCTCAGCCCCCACTCCTCCTCCCAGGAGGGAGAGGAGGAGGAGGAGTGGGGAGGCCAGGGAGGGCTTCTGCAGGGGACACCACGGGGGCCTCATGGTTGCCAGGGCAGGTGGGCGTCTGCTGGGAGAAAGAAAGGCAAAGGGTGAAGGCTGGAGGCAGCAAGGAGGGAGATTAGGTAACAATCTTGCCCAAGGGCTATCACCCAGCTTCAGAGGAGGTGGGGCAGGTTGGCAGGAGGAGAGAAACGGGGGTGGGGGTGGGGGGGGGAAGAGACAGGCAGAGACAAGGACACCAGCAGGCAGGCAGGCATGAGGGGACAGAGATCAGGCAGGCGCACACATCCAGACAGATGCAGGGCATGGAGATAAGACACGCCAAGGCATACCCTCCCTGCCCACAGGGCCCACCGCCCTCACCTTGCCCCCTTGCTCTACGGCTTGGGCTGGGCCCCGTGCATGCAGTGCGGGTACCAGAGGCCGCAGTCCACTCAGCTGCCACGGGACAGGGGCGGGGCCCTCGCTGCTGGGTGGCACCACTGGGAGAACTTGCAGTGGCTTCAAGGCACAGCCGTTCCTCCTGGGTTGGCCAGGGCCAGGGCCCTGGGGGAGTGGGTTGGGGACTCAAGTGTGGGAGCCCTAGGTCCTTCCTTGGGTACCCCAAATCCTGCCTCCTCCACATCCTGCCACACCCTGAAGCGCCTCATTTGCAGTCTAGCTCTGAGCTTTGGTACCTGCTGGTTCCCATCAGCTGTTCAGTCTCCCGTCCCTGCTATGCCAAGTCCTAGCCCACTGGTTGCCAGCCCTGGTTCCCTAGACTACAACCCCCTTGCGACAGACGTTGCCATGCATGTCGCCGCCAGCGGAGGGCAGTAGAGACCGAGGAGAAAACGGCTCTCCCCGCCCTGAGACCCGGAGCCGGGAACTTGGGGTGGGGGCCTGGGGGCTCGCGGGCATCACAGAGAGGGACCTGAAGGGCGGGCCAGGACGCCAGTGTTCCAGGAGCTCCGGAGATCCCCGGCTGTAGGGGCGAGGACACTATTTTGGGGAAGCAGCTGCTGTGGTTCCGGCATCTCCAGCCAAGAGATCAAAATTCCTCGGGTCGGAACTCCCCCCTTTCCAGGCGATCACCCCTCACCCAGTCTCCGTCAGTGAGCTGGCGGGGGTGGTGTGGGGTGTGCTGGGGGGGGTGGTAGTGTTGGAGATTAACTAGGAAACCCGAGTGGGTCTAATTATAACTCGGGGCTTCCGCTGAGCCGCCCCTTCCCCCCACCCCAGGAAAAACAAAACAAAACAAAACAACACAGAGATGGAGTCTCCGTGGGAAGGAGCTCCGGGGCCTCAGAGGTGTCCGGGTTGGGCACTGCGGAGGGGCGCTGGGATCGCGGCCCTCAGTATGAGAGGCTGGGATGCAGCTAGGGGCCAAGAATCTGCGCAGTTTGGGTTTCACTCCAAACAGGGGGCGTCTTCCAGTGTCCCAGACACTGGGGCGAGCGGGGAAGGGGCGCTGGGGTCCTCACAGTAATGCTGGCGGAACGGCGGCATCTGGCCCCGCGGGGCGATGTAAGTATGCGGCGGCCGGGGAGAGTTATGGAGTGCGCGGCGGCGGGGGGTGCACTTGGCGCCCCCTTTGGGGGGCCTAGGTTGCTCTGCGAGCACTTGGTCCCCGTGGGCGGAGTGGCCGCCGGCCGGGGAGGGTCCCGGGCGGGGCTGAGGACTCACCTGAGGCGGCCAAGCGGGGCCGGGCTGCGCCGGGAGCTGGAGGCGGCCGCTCTTCCCCGGCGCAGGTTGAGCCGACTGTGACAGCCGCCGCCTCCGGCCCCCCGCACACACCCCTCGGGCCGCGCGGCGCCCCCGCCCGCCCCCGCCCACTGTCTCCGCCCCCGGCCCTCCCCGCTTCCCGGGCCGCCACCTCCCCTCCCCGCCCCTCCCTCCAAGTCGGGAGCCGGGGGCCCAGACGCAGTCGGGTGACAGACGCTGACAGACGGACAGACGCGACCCGAAGATCCCCATTGGCGGCGCAGACACCCAGGTGACAGACGGACAGGGGCACACGCGGGCAGGAGACAGTCACCTGTAGTGACAGGCACAAACCGACTTTCACAGACGAGGACACAAGGACAGTCTCGGTGGAGCCTGGGAAGTTAAGGCAAGGGCCACATAAATGAGCATCTCTGGCCACGACACAGGGGTGGCGTGGGAGGAGCGACACGCGAAAGGGGATGAGGACCCCCTCAGGAGGCCACTGTTGGTGCAAACGACGTAGGATACGTCTGGGGATAAGGGGACACCTGTAGGAATGGAGACAGGAATATGGTATCTCGAGGGGGAAATGAAGGGGGCGCCCGTGGAGGAATGAGGACCCCATGGGGAGGTGAAGGTGACACGGGGACATCGAGAAGGCAGACCAGTGGTGCGCGCAAGGTTGCGGGGCGAGGCTGCAGCAGTGGAAACTTCCGGAAGCCCCGCGGGTGGGCTTGCGCTGCTGGTTCCTTGACCGGTGAACTCGGACTTCGTCACCAGGGTCCAGCGGGGGCATGACATCACCAGCCCGAGCGTTCATTGGCCGCAGCGGCTAGCAGGTGGGAGCGGCCTGGTCTCTGTCCCCCTCCCCCCCGCAGATCGAGCGGGCAGAGCGCACAGACCCCTTCGCCCCACCCTTCAGGGGTCAGTCATGGGGAGAGTGGAGACGCTGCCGCGCCCAAAAGGACGCAGGGCATAGTGTGCAGGACTGCACCCGAAAGACTTCAAGGCGCAAAGGGCTATGCGCTGGGGGGTTACTGGATCCGAGCCTCGGAGCAGCTGTGGGGAGACCGGTCGGCGCGGGCGAACGTCGGGACGTGCGTGAGCGTGCGTGCGCGCGCGCGGCGGTGCGGGGCGCGTCTGGGGCATGGGGGTCGCGCGCATGCTCGTTCTGGCGACCCCGCACCCGGCTGATCTCCTCGCGCACGTTTGCCACCGCCAGGGAGCAGAGATCCCGTATCATGGAAACCGCAGCGGGCGAGGGGGTCCGTTGGAATCCAGAGTGGAGCCTGGCACTGGGACGCGCGATTCCTGGCTCTGCAAGCCGGGAGCTCCTTAACCTGCCTGCTGCGCGGGAACAGACCCTGCAGGGCTGGCGCCAGCGGGCGGGACGCCGTGCCGGGTTCGCTCTGCGCTCGCTGGAGGCGGACGCTAGGTGGCGCCAGAGGCAGCCGCTCGGACCTCGAGAATCTGGGTGCGGCGGCAGCTGGAGACACCCCCCCCCCCCGCGGCTCCATCACTTCCCTGCGCTCACCTTTTCAGGCACCCCGAAGCTCCATCTTTGACACTCAGGTCCCCTGCAACTGCCTTTCTGCATCCTGGACTCCTCCTAGAGGGCTCTGTGCTAGTAATTATACATCATTAGCAAGGTGCAAACAAACAGTGAAAGGGCTTGTAGAGGCAGAAGCTGTGGCATTTGGGGCCATAGGGCTCTGCTAATGATAGGGTGTTGCTCTTCTGTCATTCACCAAGACGGGCTGTTGCAGGACAGGCCTATCACTCAACCTGTATAATCATGAGTTCCTGCAGAGACTGGCCCAGGACAGCTTATTGCCCATGGTTACGGGATAGGCTTAGGGACAGGTTGCTGTTGATCCAGGTCCCGGAGCTGAAGCTGGAGTCAAGGACAGGACACCAGGGTGGGCAGGAATCCCCCAGGGAAAGACTGTATGTTCAGCTGGGTTGGGGTTAGTGGCTTTAGCCAATGGGAATGGTGCCCAGATGTCTGCAGGGCCAGGAGCAGAGACCTGGGACAAAAGCAGCTCCAGTCCTTGAGGCGGTCTCTGTGCGACTCTTTAATTCCTTTCTCAGAGGCTTCAAGGAGCAGCATGCAGGAAAAGGAAAGGGCAATGGGGGTTTGAAGATGCTTGAGACTTGGGGACAGTGCCAAAGCCCCTAGGAACTCTAAGCCAGGGCTGCACAACAGAAACCCAGAAGGGTAGGGTGCTTCCTGCAGAGCGGCAGCATGGAAGCCATCTTCAGGGAGCCTTGGTCAGCTGCTTCACCTCTGGAGGTGACTCAGGGCCACATGCATGTCCTCAGCCTCATTTTGAGGCTGTGCACAGGATTCTCCAGGATGTCAGCTGGATAAGGCTTTGACCTTGCTCATAGATGCAGAATTCCCAGGCACAGACTCTTTCCTTAGTTTGAGTTTCTCCCCAGTCTTTTGTCACACAGGGCTGAGCCAGCTCCGCCAGGACACCTTTCCACTGTAGGACTCCTTGTCACTCCCAACATTCTCAGTGTCTTGCCCTGCAAGGCTCTCTGCAGAGATGCCCTGGATTTTTCCTGTGCACAGTCTTTGTTTGCCACTTCTGTTCTTTCAGGAATCGATCTTGCATCTGCTGTTGGTACTGTCAGTTCAGAGGGCCTTCATATTTCTCTCTCTCTCTCTCTCTCTCTCTCTCTCTCTCTCTCTCTCTCTCTCTCTCTCTCTCTCT